CAGTTCAGCTCATTGAGTAAACAATAAAATGCTGTTTATTCAATTTGTATTTTTTTCCTTGTTGGATTTATCTGTTTGTAGATTGTTTATCATATTTTATGCATTTCACATCTCAGCCAATCAAAAAGTATAACGTCTTTTCAAATAGTTATTTAACTCATCTAGTGAAATTGTACTTATATCGCAGAATAAAAAATTTCACAATGTCAGATTTTTCCAATATCATGCAGCCCTACCAACCACTGGGCCCCCATGTCACCCCCCACCGAAAGTTGATTCACCCCAAAATCAAAAAGTTCATAAAGAGATCAAAAATGAATTCATATAAATAAAGTAATTAAATCCAAGCCTTCTCAGAAGAGAAACGAGTGCTTTAAATAGTGATCAGAATTATTTTAGTATCTATTCACATTTAAACAAAAGCTCTGTCTCAATTCAGACGCTGCATCTCTTTCGATGGCCACATTCAAAGGCTGATTGCATCACTGTAGCACAACAAAACTGTCTTCGTTCAAAGGCTCCTTCAATACACCCTCCAAATGCATCCTTTGTTTCCCAGATAATGAAGAGCTGATTTTGGACTCCAATGCAAGAGGATGAGAACGGTATATTATTTAAGAAAATTCTAGATTATACTTTAAAATGCAAGCATTGCATTTCTGACATTTAATTACACAATGGTTTAAATATGCTTACAAAAAAGCAATTTTGTAGACAATTACCTTTGGTCAAGTATTAAAATTAAATGATCATGTATATGAGCAAACTTAGGTTAAACCACTCAATTGATATGGGTTCTTTATCTCATGAATGTTTTGATTGAACAGACTTTAAGTAAGGTTAAAATGGATTTCATTAAAGATAACTATTGAACATGAACAAATATCTAGTGAGTTTGGAATATTTGGAGTTTGAAAAATATTTCCATTTCCAATTTACATTTTTGGGGTGAACTAAACCTTTAAAGCAAAAAATTTTAAACTACAATAGCTCATCCCACACATTTTCAACACATACTGTAGTTCACTGATAATGCAAAACAAGATCTTTTTTTTTTTACAGCTCAGACTTCCGTCATCTCAATCTGAGGGGTCCCGATCTCTAGAGACTTGACTGAAGTCGCTCAAGCTGTTTTTGTGTTTCTATCAGTGCTGCATGGATTTGGCTGTTCGCCTGGAGTACTGAGCTCTGTGCAGCGGTACAAATGTAAATGTGTGCTCCGCGGGGACGGAGTGTGAGGGGGAGCGGAGTGGCTGCCCTCGCATCCCAGCGAGATGAAAACCCATCCACTCGGAGAAGCACAGCGGCTACCGGGGCAGAAGTCAGCCGCGGTGGGGCTGGGCATGTGGGAGAGAGGAGTGATGGAGGGAAAGTTTTCTCTGCCTCCAGCGCTCTGCATATGTTGTGAGAGTGAAAGCCTGCAGTGAACTTGGCAGCACACTTCAAAACTTTATGGAGCAGACGTGCACGCTGCATCCTAATACGAGCGGTGTCTTGATTCGTGATTCGGGATTCATGAGATTTGTCAGACAAGGTGCCTGGAATTTTTTTTTACTTCAATTCTTGGCTCTGCTTTTTGGCTCGCCTGCATTTTGTGAAGAGTGGTTTCTCACTGGATTTGTTTTGTTCTCAAAGTGGTCAGATGAATTTCTGAATTAGCATTTTTGGGCACAGTGTACATTTAAGAGCTAAAGTTTTACATAACCACATGGGTTATGTTTAAATACAAAGAGAAAAATGTATTCACCCTCATGTCATTACACAACTGTATGACTCCCTTACTTAAAAAAATAAAAAGAATTTATAACATTTTTTCAGTTTTTGTTTTTTCCATACAGGGTCCTATGATCTTCTAAAAAGGTCATTTAGATATAAAATCTTATGAGGCTCTGTAAATAAGATTTTTAATTCATATACACTACTCATTACTCACCCTTTACTTGGTTCAAACCTTGACCTATGAGTTTCTTCAGTTAAACACAAAAGAAGCTAGAAACCTGTAACCATTGATTTCCATAGTATTTAGTTTTCCTACTATGGATATTCTTCGAGATATCTTCTTTACTTTCAACATAATAAATTCATTAACGTTTTATAACTAGGCAAATAGGTAAGAGTCACCTACTTTTACGTTCAAGATTGACACTGATACTGAAATCAAATTGTAAAAAAATAACAGAAAATCTTATGACTTTGTTTAACAGTGTTAAGGAAACTCAAAGGATTGGTGGGACTAAACAGCTGTGAAGCCTGAAGAAAAGCATTTATTAAAAACAAATGCAAAGGCTTCAATTTGCTAGGAGCATAAAGATTGGACTTTGGAGAAGAGGAAGAATGTCATGTGGTCTGATGAGTCCAGATAGTCCCGGTTCCAGAGTGATGGGCACATCAAGGTAGGAAGGGAGGAAGATGAAGTGTTGCACCCATCATGACTAGTGCCAAAAATACAAGCCTGTGGGGCAGTCCTGTGATTTGGGGATGCTGCTGTTGGTCAGGTCTAGGTTCAGCAATGTTATGTGCCCGATGAAAGAGGTCAGCTGACTACCTGGATATACTAAAGGACAAGGTTATCTTCATCAATGGATTTATCTTCCCTGATGGCAAGGGGATATTCCGAAAAGAGCTGAAATTCAGGGAGGAATGAGACTGACTGATAGATTGGCCACAACAGAGTCCATACTTTAACCCTATTGAGAATCTTTGGGATGTGCTGGAATAGACTTTGTGCAGCAGTCTAACACCCCCTTCATCCATTCAAGATCTTGGTGAAAAATTAATGTAACTCCGGACAGGAAAAAATGTTGTGATGTTGCAGAAGCCTACCCAAATGATGCAATGGCAAATGTGTGCCAAAATCGAAGCAAAGGGCAGTCCAATAAAATATTAGAGTGTGTGGCTTTTTTTTTTTTGACAGTGTATTTTAGGAATTATCAAACATGTATAAACTATGTATATATTGTTATGAAAATCACATATTCCTTTGTGATAAATAGTTATTATTAAATTATGTACAAATTACTACTTAAGAAAACAAGCCAAGTCACTGATGATACAGAGCAAATCCCACATAATTAATATTTCACCAGAAAAAACAAACAACAAAACATGAAAGTGAAGTTTACAAGTTTTGTATTTCAAATGCTGGTTCTAGTCTAATCTAAGACAAATAGCACTGGTCTTGGATCTATGGGTGGGCAGTTTCAGTATTCAATTCCAGGTCCACGTTAGCGAGCCACTCTGTCCTGTCCAGGAGCTCCATTCACTTCACAGTCAATAGTTATTTATCATCCAACATATTAGCGATAGCGTTGTCGATATGAAGTCCAGCAGTGAAATTAGTCAGTGCCAAGTCTGTAACTACAGCCCAAGGTCAGACACACACTCCATTGACAGGAGTGATGGTCCGCAGCTCACAGGCACATACATCCAGCCCAAGGTCAAGTGTATGGTTCTGCTATTTCAGAAGGCACACGCGTGTAAAACACTCTGTCATGTTGAGAGATGCCAAGCTTGGTTTTGACATATTTTATGTCACGTTTTGGATACTAATCAATACAGTAAGGTGGATGGTATAAATTCTACTATCGCTGTTTTTGTTTTGATCAGTGAGAAAGATGCGGCATAAGTGTATCCTTGATTTCTCTGAATTGTTCGACGATATATGCTTGACTGCACATAAGCAACAGTAAAATGTGGCCAGCTTTTTAAAAAACTATTTAAAACTTTAGATTACAGAATGCAAATGCACAAATATACACATCTGCCACTTTCAATGAACAATTATGCTGTCTGTTTATTTGAATCAAATAAAATATCTTCATTATTTATATCAAAATACTAAACACCACTAAGCATTTCTATTGCTCTTAAATTGAACCAAAAGTTTCGCCAAGCGGCTAAGCAGAAGAATTGCTAATCAGTAGCAAAACATTTTTAAGCCTTCTGGCAAGGTCAGGGGATCACAGTCCCTTGCTAAATGTCCGAAGCCCCCCCCCCTGCAGAAGCCCTGAGGGGTGATTTCACCCCCCACACATAGATACACACAGCCTGACAGCAGCTAACTTGATTCGATTGCTTGGTCCAGAACTCCAGAACGATTCCACTTCCCCTCCCCCTTCCCTTGAAGGTCTCTTTTTTTTGTACTTTCAGGTCTAAACTACCATATATTTGCGTCATGAGTGTAAGCACAAACATGACTACTAGCACTCGCTGTGTACTAGGAGTAAATGTTAAACAAACCAAACTCTGATGTCAAAACCAAAACATCTAGTGTTGATGCAAAAGGCCAAAGGGCTCTCTGATCAGTGACAAATCGAGAGGATTTCACAGCCAAGCCTGAAACTGCAGATCTGGAAGTTGAAGAAGACACTTTTGTCTCTAGCCAACTTCTTAGTAAACTCGGGCGATAAGCCAACACATATTCTGGAAGTAGATAAAGTGAACACTTTTGTAAACAGGGACTACTGCGTGCATATTATTGTTACTGTGATCTAGAATATGTTTACAAAAAAAAAAAAAAAAAAAAGATTTGCTATTATGTAAACTTGGTATTATTTAAACTAAAAAAAGTAAAATAAAAAAACTCAAATGACATAGTTTGTTTAGCTTGTAGCATGTGTACAAATATAGCAAGCAATTATTCGACATATACTGCCAATTCACTCACTCTCCTTCAGCTTTTATGAGGGGTCGCTACAGCAGAATGAACTGCCATTCAGCTAACTACTTTTCTAGAATTTACAAATTTCCACAGAACAAGCTATTTGCAATGTCCATCTATGATTGTTTTAGCCTGTCTTTCAATTTGGTGCAAGCAAGACAAAGTAACTGTATAAATGTCTAGAGGAAAATGTAATGTTGCTTTACTATAGATCAGCTCCTGGAAACAAAGCCAAATCAACTTTGAGCTCAAATGAGCCTAAACCCTCCACATGAATGCCCTAAAGGTATTACGTATTAAATCACTCAAGTTTAAGCACAGCCATGAAACTGTCTGCTTCTCTACTGAAAACATTGTATTGTTTTATTGGAATAAACAGTTTAAATATCAACCAAGGCAATGTGCATGCTGCCATCTAGTGGACGTATTAAATCTCTACATGGTAAATGCAGAGACTAACATTTGGCAGTGCTACAAACATTTATTAATATATGACAATTCAAACTTATCTGATAAAACTCTAAAATAAATACCTAACTGCAAAAAAGACAGTAAATACTTGTTATTGTTAATGTTATTGTATGCATTTAAAACATAAACCCTGTATAACAATGCATTTTTGCAACCGAATCGAGTCAAAACATATCAAATGGCACATGCTACTAAGTTGCAGTGTAAGTGTGCTAGAAGAATTTTTTGTGCACTAGTCACAATGTTAACAATGTTACTTGGGTACACTGACTTTGCGCCTCTTTGGGACAGATGGTTGGGGATCTTGGCTTAGTGGGAACTCTAGCTGAGAGATCTGCAGAGATGAGAGAAAGTGCATTTAGCTGTGGTGAACAACAGTTCATCAGAACTAGAACACTTGAATAACCTGTTTTGTTACTTATCTGTTTACTTCACAATGAGTTGTGTTAAATAAAGCTAAATGTTGTATTTGACAACATTGATTCAATCGATGACTTTTATAAAAAAAAAAAAAAAAACACCTCTAAAAGTTTTAATGCCAACACAAACACAGGCCATGGAGTGGCTGTGTGATATTTTAAGCCCATGAAAATAATAGTAAATGTTGTTTTAACAGTTTGTAAGCTGACACCAAAAGAAAAAAAATCCACATAACAAACAGCTGTATTGTTATAGTGTGATGTGATAATATTTCTTCCCAAAAAACTAAAGAAAAACTAAAATAAATCAATGATCCATAAATTAAAACATTTCACTTTCTTAGTAAATATATGTTTAATATGTTATTGTTTTGAACAAATCTTTCACTCAGAGAAATGCTGCCATCTGTAGGTGGTTTTAGAGTCATATTTATCACCTAAAAAAGCTTATAGTTTTTATTAATTATACACTCCATTGTATGCACATCATAAAGTATTTCCTACCTGAGGCTCAAAGATCCGTCCACTCCTGGTCTTTCTGGCATCCACCTTCAGATCAGCAGTTTTCTTTACCAGATTGTCCATCTAAAAACAAACTTCATATAATTAAACACAAGTTCTGGAGCAGACTGATACATCACATTTGTGGTGCAGTGCTACCTTTGGATTTGTTGAAAAATCCTCCTTGGTGTGTCTGTGAGGCTGCTCCTGAGTTTCCTGAGTTTCTGTAAATGTGAAAGACAATGAGCCATGTTTGCCGGAGCGGCAGTTGATTATCAATCTTATTCAACAGAATAAAACATTCACCTGAGTATTCAATACCAGCATCAGTGATGACATTCTCCTTTGTCATACACTCCTGTTAAAAAACAATTGCTACTATTTAAGATTAATACTTGCATTTTATAACAGTAAAGCAGAAAAGTAAATGAAGAAACATGAACATTTTAAGTACCAAAGAATCTAAACGCCATCTAAAGTGTTCTTCTAAACAAAGCAGTTTTTTCAGACTCCTGTCTGTCATTCAGTCATTTTAATTTTTAAGGCAATGAAAAAAAAACATTGCAACAGAATAAAGAACCAAACCTGCACACATTGAACCTGAGAAAAAAATATATCAGACAGGAGTTTCAGACAGCATTTAGAGGCTTTTGTGTCTCAACTCTTTATGTGCTAACTATTAAGGAAAGCTCACCTGCTGAACTGAAGTCTCAGACATCATCCCATCCTCTGATATTTTCAAAGACCATTTTGTACTCACACATACTTCCACATCATCTTCAAACTGTTCACACAAACACATTTATTATTGATCACTGCTTTACAACAGTATTGTTTTTTAGTCTGTAAGCAAGCATCTTCTAAACGTCTTTAACTCACAGGTTCAATTCTCTTTTTCTCAGTGGTGACGTTCATTTTGATGCTGTGAAAAGGTGTCACCACCTCTCCCATGGTCAGGTTTACTGGTTCTCTCTCAAACATCAGCGTCCCGTTGTCATCCTCCTTAAAGCCAGGTGGCTGATACTCCTGAGGGGTCACTGAAACGCAAATATATATTGATAATAAATATTGTAGATCCACTATTAAAGGAACCAAAATATTTTATTTAAATAAATAATTGTAATGAAAATGTATGAAATTATATGATCTACATTCCTAAAATGTACAAATTAAAGCACATATTTATAATAAATATATAATAAAACTACAATGCAACAAGAAGACAAAAATTGCTTTTACATAATCCAAAACAAAAAAGTTCACTGTCTGCAAAAATTTATATAAAAACAATTCATAAACATTATTTCTACAGACTTTATATATTGTAGATTTACCCTCATCATAGTACAAGAGTTTCATGTTAAGGCAGACGTCGTCAGGCAGGGGGCCGAGATTTTGCATCAGCATGTATAGTTTGCGCACAAGCAGCATACTGGATTTCTGGGTGTTGTCGCAGGCCATTTTAGTCAGGCTCTGTCCATTTTTGCTAGAAACACAGATTTTTGTTTTTGTGAGAGGAAACATTCATACAAACAGCATACAGACACTGTAAAAACTCAAAGCATAACATAAATAGAATGTTCTGCCAACTTGCATTTAAGCAGCCACTATTTTTGAATATTACAAGTAACAATATGCTAAATAATAACAAAGAAAAGTCATAATACAGCAACTTTATCATAGTTCTGGCAACACTAATGAATAACGACACATTTGATCTCTTCCTCTGTGCATGTAGAGTAAAATAACCTCTCTGATATGCTTTAAAACGTGTCATCAAAATAGGTGTACAGTTCAGTTCTGAGTTCTGCACACCCTAACAAACATTTAAAAATGTGATTGCCATCGCTTGCATTTTCAGGAGTAAATTTGGTGGCTGAATTAGGTTGTCACTCAAACTACTGGACAGTGTGTATACAGAACAGGATTGAGCACTAAATGGTGAACTGTGAAAAAGGGTAAAAGTTGAATTAAGCCACATTATGTACTGTATAATAAAAACAATAATGAATTGTATTTGTAATGGACTTTTCTCAGACCCAAAGCATTAATGTGTGGGGTCAAAAGTCTAGAAAGTGTTATTGGGGCATGCTAAGCAAGTACTATATTTTGGTCTGAAGATAAAGCAAGTTCACAGTTGCAATCCATCAACTTGTTTTGACTCCAGCTCAGACAGACATGTCACCTCTCAAAGTCCATCTGAGGTCCTTTCTCTGTGTACTTGATTTTAAACTGGTAACATTCAGTCACTTTCTGCAACAAAAGCAAGAAGTGGAAATTAACATTCAAAATCTGAAACAAATAAACAAGGTTGCCATGTACTGATTAATATTATATTCTCAAAGAGAATTTAAGGGGAGAATTAAACTAAACATTTAAATTACTGTAGCTGTTCAGTCACCCTCCGTCATCCAAGATGTAATGACTTCTTTTTTTAGAAGAACATTGACATTTTTAGCTGATTCGGGCACATTATTGTTTAGCTTTATAATACTGCAATATATCATCAGGAGCAACAGATACACATTTTGTTTTGTCTATGTTTTTTTTTAATCTCATTTAAAGTTATTCCAGGGTTTCTGCAGGTTTCTTCAAGTCAAATTTAAGACATTTTTAAGACCCTTCAGAGACAATTATGAATAAATTTTAGACTTATACCGGACTAAACACTAAGGATTTTTTGTAATAGCCTGGTTGAGTCACAAGAATTGGAATAAAAATAATCAAATGTAGTTATTTATTAATCTCATATCTTAATGTGTCTAACTGCTACACTTTATTTCAACATGTTTCTTTATTTTAATGTCAAGTTTAGCATTGTTAAAAGTATATTTATTATGAAGAAAATTACAAAAATATATATTTGTTTGCTTTTTTTCCCCAAATTAATTGAGTATAACTCCTATTCATCCTAATGCGTGTCTGTTATAAAACCTTATGTTTCTTCATGCCTATTCATAAATATTATGTCTACTCCCCCTTACTTCTGCAAATGCTTTTTGTGTAAATGGAAGATCATGTAAACACATATACTGCTGTTATTATCATGAAGAATTGTGTAATTGCTTTTAGTTTTATTTTCCTGATTAGGGACTTTAATTAGGGGAGTTTGCTGTAAAAATGTCTAACAGGTGTTGTGAATTGTATCTCTTTGCAATAAAAAAACTGAAATATTTATACATAAAAAAAATATTTAGATGGATTTTTGGTGATTGGAAGAGTGTCTTTTAAAATTAAGACCAGTTTAAAATGATTTAAGACCTACAACACAATATTTATGTGAATTTAAGACTTTTTAAGGCCTAAAATTTTGTTTTTGAAATTTAAGACCCTGTTCTACTGACTAAATAATGTCAGTGACATCTATAATAGCCTGAAGGTGAGTAAGCTGAGATTTGTATTTATTTTTTGTAAGTGAACTGTGCTTTTAAATATAACACAAGTAAGGAATTAAACCTAATTAAGATATAAGATATAAAACTATATATGATTACCTGTGGATTGTCTGGATCACAGTAAATCTACAATTTCAAAAAGAAACTTGTGAAAAATAAATACTATATGACACAGATACAATTAATACTGATTATTCCATTTTAAATCATTAGTTACTTACTGACAGAAGAACCATGCGCAGCTGATAAAGCAAAGCAGATGCAAAAGGTCAAAAGAGTCAAAGGTTGCCCAAAGTGATATAAATAGATACAGAAAATTCCTCAAATGCAGACTTACATATCTTCTTTGAAGTGCATCAAAACATCCCTGCAACCTAAAGAGAAGGTGAGATACTCATTATGTAGCTTACAGCCTTTACACACTAAGAACTATAATTGGGATATCTGAATATTACATCATAAAGGATATTATTGTCCACACTAACTGAAGATATATTCAATTTAACAAAATTGAAAAGCTCAAAATCTTTAAAAAGGATAGTTCGCATAAAACTGAAAAGTCTGTCATTGTTTACCCACCTTTCTTCCAAACCTTTTTGACTTACTTTCTTTTTGTAAACATAAAAGAAGATGTTTTGAAGAAATCTGGAAATCTGTGACCACTGACTTGACCACTGTAACTATAATTGTTTTTCCTACTATGGGAGTGGAATGGTTACAGGTTTTCAGCTTTCTTCAAAATATTTTCTTTAGTGTTCAACAAAATAATCAAACTCATAAAGATTTAAAACCACTTGAGGGTGAGTAAAAAATAGTGAGTAAATTTGACTTTTTGAATGAACTATTCCATTAAACTAGAATGGATCCTGTTGACTATTAATGTTTTTATCATTCATCAATTGGGGAAAACATTCATTTCCTTTGTGCTCTCATGGCTATAGTTATAGTATATCTTTAAAACTATATATTTATAGTCACTGTAGGACTTATGTAAGTTTTATGAAGGGAAAATGGAGTGAACATGGTGTTACTCTTACCAGTGGACAATCTGCTGAGCACCAGGACAGCTATCTTCTCGCAGAATATAGACTTTCAGTTCTGTGGAAAAAGAGAAAATCTCACAAACAATGACATTTGCTGGATTTTTGTCCCCTGTTTCGCTTGATGTAAGTTAGCACTTCACCTCCAACGTATTTGCGTCCATAGGCCTTTTCTGAGAAAAGACCCCTGAGGTAAGTGATGCTGGAGATGGCAATGGCTAGAAGTTTCTTCACAAGTACCAGAGATTGCTGTTCATTGGACACCACGTCTGGTAGCATCTGACAGCTCTTAAAGCACACAAAAACATATTCATTTTGTAAGATCTTGTTGAATTTAAACGTAAGGACAAGCTAGCTAAAGTCTGGACACGCTACGTTAAACACAACTACGTTAACTTACGACCAACTTAGCGATGAGCTGATTGAGAAGAAAACTAATATTTAACGTTGACGTTACCTGCACAGGACGCGATTTCTGTTCACAAGTCATAATGATTGAGACAGATGATCAGTCAAAATCCAAAAATGATGAGCTGTAAATATAATGTAACGTTAAGATCTCTGTTAACGTTAATGGTTTTGGAATTTGAATAACTTAAATGAGGCAGATTTGTTAAGTCATTAAATAGTAACTGACATAAGCCTAACACACGGAATCTCTTACCTGATAAAATTGACAATAACGATTATCAATGAATTTGACTGAGAGTTTAAATGTAACAGAGAGACAAACATAAGCTTTAAGGTGATTTAAAACAAATCTGAAGACCTCATTGCAACCGACTGCCTAACTGCCACTCTTGTACGCCATCCAGCGTTCAACTGCATTCGTTTCCCGCCATAAACTCCTACATCACGTTACGTAAAAAATACATTTATGCTAATATTACAACTAAATATAATTTTAATATATATAAATAAATAATTTCTTTGACCTCTTAATAATCTTGGGGAATATGTGTAAGTAATTAACCCTTACATGGGCGTATAATGGGCTATATTAAAAATAATACATTTTGAATCCAGAAATAATTTACAACTTTTTATTTATTTTTTATTTATTACATCTACAACAATGCCTCTTAGTTCTAATATATTGGGTTCATTCGTACATTTTGTATTTTTCCTGCAACTTATTTTATTTTTTGTGTGTCGTTTGAATGACTGATTGTGTCAAGAAATTAAAACATTTATGATTTTTTTAAAAACATAATTTCGATCCAATTTTAAATAACGATATATATTATATTATATTATATTATATTACATTATATATGTCATATGTATTTATTTACGTGTTTGTTTACGTAAAATGGGGCTGCGGCACTAATCTAGACAAAAGGACTATATTATAGTATTGTATAATTGATCCGTGGGCATATGGAGGACGAAACCTGCAAAGACAATAAACAAATAACGATCTAAATAAATAAATATGCAAATAAATAAATAAATAACTAAATAAATAAATAAATACATGTACCTAAAATGTATAAAAAATTACACGAATGTTGGGGCCAAGAACATGCTAATGAGAATGAATGAATAAACATTTGAAAGGGGGGGATAAATCTTCAGTTTAGCATTTTCTTTCCCCCCAACATTCGTGTAATTTTATATAAATTTTATATACATTTACATTATACATATATACATTTATTTATTTATTTACATATTTTGCGTATTTATTTATTTATTGTTTTTGCAGGTTTTCCATAGAGCAAGGGGGGAAATCAATTCAAATCATAAATAAATTGTATGTGTATATTATCTCATGCCTGTTATATTATGTATATATTACATTTAATAAAACCAAGAATTTTGAGCAGAAAAAAACTCTATTAGCACCTCCTGTAGATTTTAATACAACTTATCGCTTTTAACTGCCCTATATAATGTTTATTATTATTATATGAGCTCACAAAGCCATTGTAGCATACCATTGGTCATTTATTTATTTTGATAAGACTTTTGTAAATCTGCTGGCTGATTCTCCTGTCTCTCAAACGTCAATCCAGATTCCCATTGGCTTTCCCGGAGTGTGACCGTCCTCCAAAATGACGTCACTGCAGCGAACGCCATTTTGATACTGAACACCGTGGGTGGATCAGATCGGGCACGAATAGACTGTAAAATTTACACACTAACACGTTGATTAACTGGTCAGCAGACGCCGAACAGCCATGTCATCAGACAACCAGGACACGGAGACGCATCCGGAGCAGGTGGACGAGACTCAGGTGGGGATTAAAACGGGGCAGCGCCTCGCTCGTTGCAGTCTCTCGTTGATGTCTGTCAGTTTCAGCCACTATAATGCCATAGTGCCGTTATATTTAAATGAGTGTTTGGTTATTACTCACTGACGCCTTCAATACAGGAATATCTCTGGTTATTTGTCATTTGATTGCTGAGCTGTCACCTGCATAAGTTGAACAAGGTGATAGCCGAGCATTTCACAAGCATGAGTCTCCTTCTGATTGGTTAGAGAGCGCAGACGTCACTAAATAACATCGTTCGATTGGTTACTTTCTGTTTTGGCACGCCTACTCTAACCTGATGGTGTCAGATGTGGTGTGTGAGCGAAAATAACTGGGGCGCCCATTTTCATGTTGATTAAAAAGTTGTAAAGCCAAACTGTGAGAGCAGGTGTAGAGTTAGCTTTGAAAACCAGTATTTGATGAAGTCGTGTTTAATCAGTAGACCTGCATATACTTGCAGTTTTGAATTAAAATGTTATATATAATGAAAAAGTTATGTATAGGAAAACGAAATTAGGAGTCTATCTAGTTTTTAGGAGGAGCTAGTTTAAGAAGTGGGAACTTATCAGCCTTGTTTGCACTTTTCCAGGTGGTGCTGAATATAGCAGGTCATAAATTACTTATAGATCCTAGTGAATCAGCAAACTGGGTCTAATCAGACGAGTCGGTTTCTTCTCCAGGACTTTAGTGGGTTTTAATGCCAAACACTGTCAACAAATCACTCTTAAGTAGAGGTGAAAATAATATCATGGTGATAACATGAATTATTACTGGAGGCTGACTGATGTAGACTCTATAGATAATGATCACGGTTAAACCACATTGGCTGTAGTGGTGTGCCATAGTTTATTTTCTGTCATCGTGTAAGTCACTTTGCAAAAAAGATAAAAACACATATTGACTGTCTAAAAGCATTCATTGTTTAGTGATGCCTAGTAAACTAAAAGCTCAGAGAGTTTAAAAACAAAGAATATTTCTGTATTATATTCACCTTATTCTCAGCTGTCGAGTGGGCACTGCCATTTGAATCTTTTTGTCTTGCGACTGCCGGTCACATTTACTTTCATTCATTTTTTGACGTTAAAAACTGCTCGTTACGCTGCTTGATGTTGCAATTTAATATTTTCTTATTATATTATGCTACTTGGTCTGTGTAGTCATGCAAACATTTGTTTGTTGAGCAAGTAGTTTGGCCATTTTCTGCCGTTTATTATTCCTAGTCATTTCTCCCTTAGGCGACTGAATCGGAAGTTCTAAGACAATCGCGAAAACAGGCGCACTTCCGCATTTTAGAATAAGGTCAATAGTTATCACGTGTGCAAGAGCAAAGTCCCTTTAAGGCAAGTCATTTCACTTGGTGGCCATCTTTGAAAAGCCTCTCGCGCAGTATGATTTGGCATTCTGTCTAAATGGGATAACATCAAATTCTTTAAAACTGGTTGCCAAGCTTATGATTACATTACATATATGGAACCACCAGTAAACATAAACAACAAGTGTCTCATAAGTTTTGTTTCTAAATGTCCGAATCAAATCTGCATATTTTCAGGTTGCCCGAGCTAATGTGCATGCGCACTCGAAAGGAACGAGATCACGACACCAACCTCATTTATGTCAATTCTACATATTATCATCCTCTGGATAATGATTGCCTAATCGCACTGGTCTTATAAAGTAATCCACATTTTGGTCTTGATGGTGAATCAGAAATGACAGCGACTCTTTGTGTGCAAGTTTGTGGGCGTTCGAGTAGTTGCTGTCATGCAATGTGCTTTTCACAGGACGGACTGTACCTCACGCTCCTTTCATACAGATTACAAAACCAAAAAACTTGTGTTTTCTAGTGCACTTGGTTCAATTAAAAGTACAGATTTCAAGCTTAATTTGGATAAATTGGATATATTTCTTATGTCTTTGAAGCAATAATTTTCCAAGATTTAAGTTCGTTTTTTGACCGCCAAACTGTCGTAAAAACACACATCTGGTCGGAGCTACTCCCCCGGAGAAACATCAGTCTATAGTGATCGATGATTGGCTTCTTCTAGTAGGCGGGGCTTCATTCACCATATTGACTGTTACACTTTTCCCCATTCCAAAACTATGTGAGTGACATGTCTTGTGTATCCTACAGTCTTTGGCAAGAGTGATACTGACTGATTGAATCAATTTGAACAAATCAGTTGAGTCAGTGATTTCAATGATCTGCTTGTAAAGACAGTCCTGTAATTATTTGTAAATTAATCATTTGTTTTGAAT